CGACAATTTTTCATCTCTAAATGTTGAATTTTTCATCCTCTATAACATTAATTTCGTCACTATAATTAAATAATATTTTATTTTTAATTGTTTTGGCGACAAAATATTTTGTTACAAAATATTAAGATAGAGGTTTTAGTGACGAAATTTATCCTCACCAATGATATAGATTAAGGTGACAAAAAAATTCCTCACTAAAATAAGCACAAAACAAAATTCTTCAATGACAAACAATTTTGTCGCCACATATTTCAAGTTAGTGACGAAATATTAAGCAAATGTAAGGAAATTATTTGTTGGAACTATGTCATTAGTGACAAAATTATTCGTCAGGAAAAGTTGTTTGAAAACTAATAGCGATTGTTTTTTTATTTTGTCGCTAAAAATAATTAACATTTTTAGAAATGGAGGTAATATTTTAAAAATAATTAACACGGGTCCCTCCCGAGGTGTTCGGGGTGTTTCCCAGGCTTTTTCATGGCTGTTTAACGATTTTGGCCCCCAATGGCCTATTTTCAAGCCTAAGTGTAGGAAAAAGTGCATTTTTCGACTTAGTTTTCAAATCGGGAGTCCCGTGCTAGTTTCGTAAGTTTCTAAAACTTACATTGGTCCCTCTCTAGGTGTTTGGGGTGTTATCCGGGCCTTCTCGCCCTTGTTTCACAATTTTGGCCCCTGATGGCCTATTTTCAAGCCTAAGTATTGGAAAACTACAGTTTTCTACTTAGTTTTTAAACAGGGAGTCCCGTGCCAGTTCTGTAAATTTTCACAACTTACATTGGTCCCTCCCAAGGTGTTCGGGGTGTTCCTTAGACCTTCTTGTGGTTGTTTGTAAAAATCAATGTATAAAGAGAGAAATACAGAGAATATTGTATCTATTGATGTATTATTGATTGATATAATGTTGTTGTTATTTTCTGTCTATTACAAATGGTTCCTTCCTGCAAATGAGCTGAGCTGAGTATCAACTTGTTCGAGCTTGGCTCGAGCTCGAATCGAGCTTCAAACAACTAAGCTCACCCTTGACTCGTTGGACTAAAACAAAACTCGAGCTCGGTTCGTGTGGACTTTACAATATTTATTCTCTTTTAACAGCCGTAGCAAAGATGGCCTACTGGCTTCCCTCAATTATATAGAGCTTTTTGTGCCTATTGAATGTGTGAAGAAGCGATGTAGGACTCTTGAACCATCGCAAACTTGCACACATCATTTACAATTATTTTATTTTATTTATTTATTTATTTTTATTTATTATTTTTTTTGTGAAGTTCATTCAATGGCTGTCCCTAGCTCTAAGGATAAGGAAAATTGAACTAATCTCACTCTTTATAAATTGTTTTCCATTATGTTAAAAAAATACTGTATTATTGATTGATGTATTGTGTTGTTGTTATTTACTGTCTATTACAAATGGTTCCTTATATAGATGTAGGTGTAGTGGATGGTGTGTAGTGGATGGTGATAGTGGTGTAGTGGGTTAGGTTTAGTGGAGTAGGTGAGGTGGTAGTGGTGTAGTGGGTTAGGTTTAGTGGAGTAGGTGAGGTGGTAGTGGTGGTAGGTGATGGTAAATTCTAACAGCCCCCCGCAAACTCAAGGAGGATAGAAACTAACCAACTTGAGTTTGAAGAGAGGAACAAAACAAGAAAATACATAAAAAAAAAAAATGATAGAAGACACTGTATGGTCGTGTCAGACCGTTGGTGAAGACACTGTATGGTGGTGTCATAACGTTGCAGAGGACACTGTATGGTGGTGTCATAACGTTGTAGAGGACACTGTATGGGAGCCCGGTGCATGCAATACAGCAAGCATAATGCAAACATGCGAGCATAAGGATGCTAATCTAAACATGCCCTGAAACTAACCATCGAAAGCAGTTAAGTAAAAGGGAGGAAGACGTGGGGTTGGAAGGCATTCTCACACTCACGCACACTTATTACAAAATTTTCCCTCTCGACGGAGGGTCCGAAGACCTCCGTCTGATCTTAGCCTGACTGTTCACTGGTGGGGTAGACAACTGATCTGACGACCGCTGTACCGATACACTGCGCCTTTTTTACCTCCGTCTGGTAATCAGGGGTAAAGAAAGGAACAATTCTTGTCCATCTATCAGATCCCAGGATCAGTTAAGTCTACGACCTTTAACCCAGAGTCCTCGAGGAATATCTGCCTGGTCGGATGCAATGGTGCTAAACTACCTTACAAAAAGATAAATAAAGCATAATAAGGAAATAATGAACAGAAAAACGGA